TTTACCTGCTTGGCCACCCCAAACTCTCCAGTCCCTGCTGACCGTCGCACGTGTATACAGAGTTGATTAATTTACGCTCAGTGCTTTTGTGCAAGTACCTGTGCCAATAAATAATAACGGTTATTTAGTGCTTGCGTCCGATTTATTCCCTTTTTTTGACGCAAACTGTTTCCAGAAATAATAAACATAGAGTAGCGACGACCTCTTTAAAAAGTGGAATATTTGCAAGGGCTTAATAATACTGAGAAACAAGTTATTTATTTTATTCACTGTAAAAATTAATATGGAAACCAATAAGTGAACCAGAATATTAAAAATTGTATAGTATGCTTACGCAGGGATTTCTTTTTTAATTACAAATTGTGATTATTAAAGTTTTTATTAACAAAAGAGTGGTACAATCAAAAGTTGCTCAGCTCGCTTGAAAAACTTTAATAATATAAAATTTCTGGATATGTAAGAATTTCAATATAGGCAAAGCATTTGGTTCACTATTAAATTATTCTTCAGTCTGAATTAAAACAACTGGGATTCTTTTCACGATTTTTTTTAAGGTCTCATTAATTTGAATTTTACCATTTGTATTGTAGACTGGTGAATATATTTCATTATTTCCAAATGAAGGCAAATCTTTGGTCTCAATTTTTTCTTTAAAAAAACACAGTCAATTAAAGTCTTTTTTGAGAAAGAATTGTACTTTTTTAGACTTTTTTATAAGAATAATGTCATTTTTAGTCTCATGCAAATATATTAAATATGTGGCACAATTAAACATTTAGTTTGAAAGTATTCAATTTTGAAGCTTAAAAAAATAAGAAAACGGATTTTTTTATCTCTGTCTAAAACGCAGGCTGCAAACGATATTTTTTTAGGGTCAGGCCCTTTGATGATGGTGATGAAGGCTTCGCTTAATTTTTTATTTTTTGTTTTTGCGTTTAACTTTATTAAAAATCAAGCAAATCAAGTATCAATTCTAACGATTAGTTTGGCAGCCACTCAAAATGATGCAGAAACACGATGAACTGAAAAGGATGAAATCAGGGATTTGGAGGGAAGCTGTTGGGTCTGGTTGATTATAACATTTGATGTAAGGGAAGGGGGTCAATAGTTGAGCAGGCCAAATAATCTTATTCTTTACAATTTTATGTTGATTATTTTTACAAAATTAAAAAAAAAGTTGCTGCATTTTTCTTTTTATAACCATAATTTTGAGGAATTCAATTTGAGAAATAATTGGGATTTTTTTTTAAAGTTCAATGGCATTGTGGCGACTTGTTATGTCGCGCTGGTGAGCAATAAGAGGTCGCAAACTTTTCAAGGAGACGCTGCTTTTGAGAGTTCGCTTGTATTCTTTTTGCGTTTAGGCAAGCGGCAGCCGTTTTCAGTGGCGTTACAAACTCAAGTCTCCTCCACCTATTATTGTTGCAAAACCGCTGTTCATTAAAAACTTTGCATTAGCCCAATTGCTCTCATTGTTCGAGATGCTTTCATATAATTATTGCCAAAGAGCAAAAGCGTGTTTGCTAAGTGGAAAAGTAGGCTATTTACAACAAAAGAGTTACCGCAGATCACAATAATCATGCATTAAGGAAAAACTATCAGCCTAAACTTTTCTTCTTCTAAAAGTCATGTCCATCATAAAACAGAATTATGGGTTGTGAAATATTTGTAAAATAATTTAAAATTCATCATTAAAATTTAATTGTGTTGAATAAATTCTTTTGTATTACAATAAAATTAAGCTCTTGAATAAATCTTATAAAAATTTATAATTTTTTTGTATTTTGTATTTTTTCATTTTCTCAAATAACATTTTTGAGGGCGAGTGACGGTGTAATATGGCCAAATCTAAGTACTTGAGCCACTGACGCGCGACGAGTGGGCCTTCTTTTCATGCATAGGCTTTTTGAGAAATAAGTGATGAGAGAGATATGATGGCTCGTTAGCGTGCGGCGCCAGCGTGTATTCCTGTGAGCAAAACGAGCCTCACTCAAATCTGCATGTATGGATGGCTGACCCATGTTAAAAATTCATTCCCTCTATTATTTACAAGTACGTGTGTTCTTCCTCGCGACCTCCTTCTTTTTTTATCCCGCTTGCTTTTCTTGCACGAGAGAGGAACGCGTTAAAATTTCATGCTCGCCAAGCCTTAAGCATAAATGGCCCCTTTTAACTGCTTTTTAAGTGAATCCCAAGCCGGACGGACGAATCGGTGCTTTCACTCTCTGTGCCCGCATGCGCCTCAATTATTCACCCCAACCCCCATTAGCTGCTCAGCCAGAGCACACAGCTTTATTATACGCACCTAGGAAATTCTTTGAATCGTGAGGCTTTGTTAGATTTGGAAGCTCTTGCTTGGTAAAAGACATAATCAGAGCCATGCAATTTTGAATGCTTTGTCCTCTGCGATTAAATGTGCCCAATTACTTTGCTACCAAATGCTATATTATCTGCAGCTATTATATAAGGGAACCAATTATACAGAGCGGTTTATTTTAAATAATTATATTGAACTGATTTTTTTCTAAAAATGGCGATGTTTTAGTACCAATTTTTAGTTGCAAATAGTTACAGATACATTCATTTTTTTGTAAAAAAAAAAATCAATAAATTTATTGTATTCATGTTATTAAATTTACCGATGCTCATCTTTTAAAGAAGACGAAAGGAACATACTTAAAAAATTTTCTAATTAAATTAAAATAATAATAAACAAATTTGAAATAATTATTCTTACGATTCTTAGTCGAATAAAATAAGTTTAAAAAAATTAAATTTAATGAGAAATTCTTTTCAAAAGTGGCAAGTAACCAGTAAATATTAAATAAATTTCTTTATGTTAAAGTACGTAAAAGATAAAAGTGGCTATATGACATAATTTAAATTAGCATGGCACGATTCGCAAAGGTTCTTTGTCAAAGCAAATCAATGAGTCATTTTTTAACAGTTTATTAATAATTAGGTAACATTTAATGAGTTCAAATGAAATAAATTGTTTGATGTAAAATATTTTTCATAATTATGTTTTTTGTATTGCTTAAACAGTTAGGTCAGGAGAGCAGTTCTCATTTTCCTGTAAAATTTGTTGAGCTTGCAAAAGGTATTTCAAAAAGTTGGGAGACATTTTTTGTTATATATTGTTACAAGTTTGTTACGTGTCAGAACTCTGGCCGACTACAAAGCGAGGCTTCTATTCAAACCATGGTACAATGCCGTTCAATTTGCGTGCACACGCCTTTCAAATTCTCACCCCAGACTAAAATCACGTCCTTGCATATTATGCATCGCTGATAGCAACAAACTAAAGGAGACCTGTCATAGAAAACTTTGTAATTATTACGATACCGTCTGTGCCATGTATACGTGCCGCTCACAGAGCAGAGACTAACTAAGACAAACCACTAACTGAATCAAGCTTTGCAAGCATACAAACCCATCCTGCCCTCTTACTTGCTTAATGCACATAATCAGCTTGCTAAAGCATTTTAGTAAGTTCGGCGAGTATTTCAATTATAAACAAACTAAGCGTAACTTTTGGTCCTTCCCCGTAAATCAAAGTGCATGCCGGAAAGTAGTGCTGCTGGAGAGAATTTAAGCTCGCCTGTTTGGATACATGAAACGAGCCTGGGGGACACAGGAGGCCAGTTATATGTGATATAAAATTAAATAGAGGTCACATCGATATATAGAACGTTTTGTGCGGTTTAACGGTGCAGTTTAGTGCCTGGATGTGAAAGCATCGGTTCATAGTAGATGCAAAAGACAAGCATGTATACAATTAATTGATTGTATATTTGTGCAGTTGTTAATAATTCAATTTCATAAATGCATCAAAATTAAGTTTTTGATTCAAAGATGAAATATTCAATTAAATTTTGATTTCTAGCATACTTCAAATAACCTAATAATTATGACTTTATTATTTTTATAGAATAACCGTGTGTCCGACGGACAGTCTATACTTTGAACTGTAATTTTTTCCATAAATTTAATATGCGATGATTCACGCCATGCGTTATATTTCAGTTTGAGAGGATGCATGCAAAGTTATATTAAGTTCATCCCATTGTTACTCAAAATCATGCAGCGTGATAAAACAGATGCGCTGTTTAATATCATTTTTGCACCTTCATTAAATTATTTCCAGATGCAGTGTTTACTGTAGCACTTCGTTATCTCTGATATTAAAATTAACGCATGAAATATAGTAGAGAAAACGCCACGCAATATTTGCATGAATCGTTTGCAAAAGCATTTATTATTCTCGGAATATACATTGCAAATAATTTAAATTTTACGCCGTGGATTTTAATTGTAAATAATACATATGTATCCGTATGCTACGGTATGCTAATTACTTATTGCTAGTTGCTATTATTTTAAAAACAAATTTGATAAAAATCACCAATACAGCTATAATACACTCACAGTAAACAAAATATGAATGAACTGTATTTTTTTTTTTTTTTTTTTTTTGGTAAAATGATAAGCTATCATTCGGTTTTTGGCTTTTACCATAATGTTAATTATTATTTTGCTTAAATTCAAATAAACACTTCTAGATTAATTAATGAAAAAAACATGTATGCTATTATTTCAACAACAAAAATAATTATAATTATGTTGGGTTGACGAATAATAGCAATGAATTTTTTGAGTCACAAACAAAAATAAATTGCCACTTAAAATTTTCGAGACCATTTTTCACAGACCAATTTTCAAGTCTCTACGCTGGGGGAAAATTCAAATGTGTAATGCAAAAAAGTTGAAAATGTCTTTCGAAAATAGCACCCTTTTTGCTTGTTATCATGTTATTGACAGCGAACTGGTACTCGCAACACTAGGTGCATGGCAATAAAAGTGTAATTTTTTAGTTTTTTTTAAGCAAGAGCTGCTGAGCATTGCGTCGACGGAGACAGAGGTCGGGCCGGTCGTCGGTGTGTTGCGGGTTGCGCGCTGCGAGGGAAGGAGCGAGCGGCGGCACACTCGTCAGCGCCAAGGCTCCGACTCAGCACACACAGCAACCATCTCTCTGACTCGGGCCCTCTTTCACTGCAGCCCTTATTGATACAAGTTGCTTCGCGGCACGTTCGCTCTTTCTTGCCCGAACAAAAAACACACGCACACCTCCGTTGCCTGCTGCGATGGATCCGACTTAATTGGCCGTGCAGACAATTAAGTATTGCTGGCATGTGTTTTTCCTGCAGTGATCGTTCCGCTCTTAAGATTCATCGACAGGGGTGGGTGGCCGGCCCGCCCCAGGGTGCAAAAACACTCGTCGTCTAAACTATTGCTTGTTAGTTGTCGAACTCTAAATAGTCTAATCAACCCTCGTTGTTTTAAACGGACAGTGTAGAATTCTTTCTAGTCATTTATCAGTGTTATCAAGAGTTGTAGTTCATCGTGAATCTCAGTGGCGCATTGTATTAATTGTTGCATGTGAAAACTCTGATCTCGGGACCAAACAGAAGAGATTCGTTATCGCGTGTATAATTGGAAGAATTTAATTACTCCGCACCGCCGTCGAAGAAGAGAATACCGAACTTTTCTTCAAAGAACTGTGCACCCTTATTGAAACCGTTAAGTGTAATGGAATCCGCCTCGTTGTAAGATCCTTCGATGTCTCCTTCATCTCTACACGTAACCATGGATGTCGCACCTCACAGCAGCAATTCCAAAATGTTATTCGTAGCCGGACTTTTAGGACTTCTGATCGTTTTGTGTCAACCAGCCAAAGGTAAGGGTGATAACTTTCTATCGTAAAATTTCAATGGACTCTGTTTTACAACCTCTCAATTTTGTTCTTCTTAAAAAAATTCGTAAAATTAAGATTTGATAAATTAGAAAAGATTATAAAAGGTACAAGAGATAAGCATTTAAATTTGCGCAGTTAGCATTTTCTCAATCAAAGTGTTGCGTAGGATTCAACGTTGTTCATTTCCTCCTTTTTGCTTGAAATTTCGTTTTATAGAGTTCAGGTAGAAGCCACTGTGGCGGTCGTTTTTTCTCCTTTGAAATTGATACCTCCTTGTACAAGTTACTTCAATCAAGAGGTATATCCTCATGAAACTTCACTTGGATTTGCGTTTGTAAAGTACGGCAGGAACGACATAATGCGAACCGAAACTTTCCCAAAAGGGCAAATATCCGCTTGCTTTTTATTAGTGAAATATGATCGCGACCGTGTTGGCGCATCTAACGATCGTCGATTCCCAAGGGGCAGTGCAAGATTGATGACAGACCAGCGCTTAAAATGCCATCACGATGAATCAATATGCAAAATATAATGTATACCAATTTTTATATTGAACGTTTGTAATTGGCAATATTATTTATTACAACTGAAACGTTAATGACTTTTTTAAAAATTGAAAACAATCTTTGTATCTAAAATTTGTACTTATGCGCACTTACTTGATTAACAAAAAATCAAATATAAACTAAAAAAGTTAATACAATTTTATGAAAGGCTTAGAACGGCTTAGAATGCATGTTTTCCAAACAAGGAAACTCTCTGTCTGATGCTGTTTTCACTTTGTCGACTTCACACTGCCCACGCTGATAAAGTTGCCTTTGTAAAAAAAAAATGCAGACAAACAATCACTGCCCTTCCCGGCACCTTGTATGGCAGCTATTGACCAGAGGTTAAAGGTCTTCTCGTCCGCATTAATGCTCTTTGCTTTCTTTGTTTTCTTTTTAACTCGAGACTACCCGCGGGCACTACGCTAGGCAGTCGTGGGTGTAAAAAAGAAATGTGCAGTTGCGTGCCCGGCGGCGGCTAATTTGAGCATACTTTGCAAGCCCCTCGCCCTTCTTTCATAATTGGATGAATGACTGGCTTGGATTCTTTTTCCCCTCTGATGCGTGTGAGAATTTAAAACTCTCCCGCGCCCATTAAATAAATCGTCAGCCTAATTGGTTTGGAATCGCGTGAATTTATTGCTTTGCACCTGCGTGAGCAATTGGCCGAAAAAGTTAACTTTCCGCGCGGTTTGTGCAAACAAGCGTTTTCCAAAAGTACGCAATTTACTTTTCAAAAGAGAGAGTAAATAGAAACTATATTATATAAAGAGAGCGAAAGATTCTCCTTTTCCCAATCTAGATGAGACTTAACTTTGTGGAACACAATTTTCAAGCGCGGAGGAAAAGAAAAATGTTGCAAAGTATAGCGCGCTCATTTACTTTTAGTACGAGTAAGCGCAAGCCTTTATGTACTTTGGAACACGCAATTTTTCCAACTTTATACTGCCGAAGTTGGCCGAGCGCGTATCACCCTCTGCGAGAGACGCCCGCCGCCTTAAATATGCAGTTTTACGACCGTGCTAACTGGAATCAATTTCACACAGCTCTTGCTCCATCCAGATAAGACTGCAAGCAAGATTGTCGCGCGCACTTTTCACTGCTGGCGGCCAAAGTCTTTGAAAGATCGATTCGATAAATAACGGTAATTAAATTTGCGATGCTCCCAGAGCCTGTTTGCTTTTGATTAATTATATCTATCGAGCCCTTCACTCACTGCCTGTTCCTTTGCGAGTCAAACAGGCTGCTGTTGGGAAGCTGTCAACATGAAGAAACGGGCCGGGTAGCAGTTGTGCTTCAACTTCCCATTAACTATCCTAACAAGTTCCCCTCAGCCCAATTCACAAGAAATTGACTTGAAGCTTGAATAAAAGCTTGAATAAAAGCTTCTAAACGGGGAACTTCAAACTGCTTTATACCAATTAATACAGTGAGAGAAATAAAAATCTTATGGAAATTAAAAATCATTCTATGGCTTACAAATTTCGAAAGCTCAATTCTTCTAAAGAATTAAAAAATTGATCTGCTAGGCTCCAACTTAACTTAATGGATCTTTGATCTTAAAAAGAAGAAATTAAAAACAAATTTTGTTTAAATATTAACAAGTGCTAAAAATTATTTTATTCTAAATCTGATAAATTAAAGGGAAGTTGGATTTACTATTAAAGACAATCTTCTAGACATTCCCAGAGATTCCGTATAACTTGATCAAATTGAATTGTGAAGAATTAACAGTAATTTAATAAGATTGGTGATAATGATAAATATTTTGCACATCCATTATTAAATTTACAAAAAACGTTTGCACCGCGAGCATTGATTTACATTGTGATAATTGAATGGACCTGATTGCGAGTGCAATTGGAAGCGCTGGGAGGTGCATTTCGCAGAGGGCGTCATATTCGTGCTAATTACCATCGGCGGCCATATGGTTTTACGCCTATGTGGAGCGGCCAGGTTGGAGCGAGTGCATCGCAGATGGGGCTGGCCAGATACTGCGCGCGGGTCTGTCGGTGTTGCAGACCCATTTATTGCAGTCTGGTGGCCAGCCAAAAGACCTCCAATGACCCAGCCTAGATATGCACCGCACAAATATTATTATTATCATCGCGCAGCCCGTGTGTCGGCTGCAAAAGAACAATGGCCTCTGGGTATTAGCTGGGTCATGCTGCTGGAAATTGAGTTTGAGCTCGATTTTTTCATCACCATTTTGCCCGACGGCGCTCGTCGGCCTGGCGCGTTTCTACTTCATGCAAAATTGAACACACACATATTTCATAATTTCCAAAATGTTGTGATTATTTAAAATCGCTTTGAAGGGATCAGCTCGATATTTGTATTAATCAACGGGCCAAACCAGAGAGGATTATTTTTTCAATATGTGGGCCCTTGATAATCATGAAATTAATTGGGATACATATTGACGTCCATCAGTTAATGATGGTGAATATTTGCCTTGTAAAAAAATTCAGGACGCAAATTGAACAGCAATAATAAGTTTTACAGTGATATTTCAAAGCGAACTGTCAATTATACCTGCTCTAGCTTTCATAGCATTTATAGCGTCTTCAAACGCAAGACCTCTGTTGAAAACGATGAATGAGATTTCTGAAAAAGTTGCTTACAAAAATTGCGAATAAATATAATATTCCATGAAAATCACTGCAGCGCACTCACAATCTGATGTTAATTATTATTTTCAAGGAATGAAATTTTTTTTAAGTTTGCATACCTTGCATCCTTTCATGAAAATCTGGAATATTTAAAAGTTCATAAATAATAAAAAGTCAAACTTTTTATTTATTATTATTATTATTTTTTTTTAAATTTTTTTTTTTGCGATAACAACAAAGAAGTTTCTGTTAGTCTTGAATATTCTATATTGAAAAGCGACCACGATCTGCCAGTCTTTCCTTTGTTGCGGTTTTTCATCTCGGGTGTTACACAGGACACCATGGTTTGCTCTAAGGTTATAGTTATAAGCATCCCTGGCAATATGTCTATATAATGAAACGAATTTTATACGCACGTACGATATAATTACCTTTCTTTGATATACACAGAGGGACGCAAATTCACCACAGAAATTAGTGCAAATATTTGCAATTTTCCTGACCAGGTCTGGACTTTGATCGCCCGAGGAGTAAAGGAGATCCTGGAGTCCGGCCGCGTCATCGTGTTGCGCAAAATGATTTGTTTTTGTCCTTCCTTTGTGTGTGCGCCTCCGCATTGCTCGCAGCAACTCGGCAAAACAATTATTATTTTGTCCCACCGTGACAGTTTTGTTTTATTTCAACTATTTTTCCAGCTGTTCCGGCTTTGTCCGTAATATTTTTTTTTGCTGTTGCTACCGCAGCGTCAATAAATGATAAACTCCCCGCAGCTGTGTGGGGTGTTATGATTAAGGCTCGCCGAAAATTGAGCAACGCAAAATAAGCAAAGCCTCTTTGTATGGGAGACTGAGCGTAAAATTCTCTCTAAAAGAGCAAATTAGTCTCAAATAACAAGGAAGTAATAATCTTTTGATTCTCCAACTCTACCCAATATTTGTGGAATATCGACCCACGCGGTTGTCAGCTGACAACTTTCTCGAGAAAGTGCCGACCGGGTTGCGAATAAATAAAAAAAAAACATGATTTATATTATTTCTCCTGCGCTATTGCATTTGCGTGTTTGCCGGCTTTCTCGTCAATGCCGAGTTGTATTTTATATCAGCAGAGCTTTGCGTGTTTGTCCGTACGCACTGATAGATGGGCCTGAAAACTGTAATAAAAAAAGTTTATCAAAATGTAGCTGCTCGAGAAGACAAAGAAAATCGCAAACGGCACTCTCGGTCGGGTGCGCCAATTGAATATTTCCTCTTTTGGCAAATAAAAATAAAAATATTATTTTTCTTATATAAGAAGCGAGTGTGTTGTAAAAATCCAATTGAAATTTTGTTGCTCCGCTAGCTGCTGTCCCCCTTTGAAATACAAACTCGCACACAATGCCGACGCTTGTGTTTGTTCAGCCAAGCTCTAAAATGCTCTTTTTTTCTTTGTGCGTTTGCCATCTTTTATTACGTAAGTAGAAACAATTGAAATAAGAGCAGCCACCAGACAAACAACATTTTATATCATTATGTGGACGCGGCGGCGAGTGGGGTGTATTAAGCGCAGGCCGGCGCGCGCGTTTTGTTTATTTTCCTTTCTTTCCGCTTTCTTTTTTGGACGCACCCCGGCTATTTTTTTGCGCCACCACACCGACATTATTTTCGCATGGGACCACAACATCCTTTTTGCAAAATGAGGGGAAACGTCTTCTCGCAGCGGCGCGCGTCAACACACAGCGAAATCCTGTTTGTGCGGGCGAGAGTCGTCATCACGACTATGCCGCGTGAGCCGACGGGCTAGAAGAAAAGTTTCTATTTTCTCAGTCCCGGCTTGTTTTTTCCTCCTT